GTCGGGGTAAGCCAAGATCGCCTCCGAGATACCTTGTCGCGTAAACGTCTCCTCCCTGAAACGCTTGTTGATCTGGGTGAGGACTTCGGCGTGGCCTGGGTTGGCTTCATCGAGGACGCCTTTGAGGGCCGAGTACGCTGGACCGAGACGGTTACAGAAGTGCTGTGCAAAGATCCATCCGGCGTCTGAAAGAAGTAAGCATAAATAGATTAGGTGGTGAGGAGATGCTCACAAGCGTAGGTGGCTTCTTGGACAGCATGTGAGGTGGGAGTGACCCCGACTTCAGTGCGGAAGAAGGGATTGTCGGGGAGACAGTAGAGCAACGAAGCTTCTTTGGTAACTTGGAAGATAGAGTGCTCAATCGGGGGAGCATTCGTGCCAGGGAGTGGGTTCAGATAGAGGGCTACCGAATATCAGCACAAGATCCAAATCCCTGAAAGGCAACTTACAGATGATAGTGACGCCGTTGGCAAACTGTTCGACATACTTTCTCGCCGAATAAAGCGAGTAAAAGTGATACAGCTCACTCAACGCACTGAAAAAGTGTGCGGTGGTGCCCATCTTGTACCCAATCACAACCCTCCTCTCCCTCGTGCCCTCCACCTCGTAAAATTCAATCACAGGTCCAAACCTCTCTTCCACGTTCCACATGACCTGTTGGTAAATCTCGAGCGTGTTGTCGGACGCTTTTTCTAAAAATACTTTATCGGAGACGGTACGAATGTCCGTCTTGGCGCGTTTGGAGGGGTCTTGAGTTGGACTTGGGGGTTTGTACTCGGGGAATACGCATTGCGATACAAAGTAGCAGCGGAGAGATTGCGAGTTGGCGGCGGAGGTCACGCCAGCTGAGCGATAGGTTTCGAGGCGGAACGCTTTTTCCGGTGTCGATACGTCGAGGAACATGTCGTCGATCCTATTTCACCATTAATATCTATAAATCAGTATAATATGGATCTACGCACCTTCGTTCACAGGTGGCACCGGGTCCTTCGTTGGAGGTGACACCGGGCGCACTAGTGTGAATAAACAGAGCACCATTCTCTGTAATCTTTTCGAGCTCGATGACGAGCTGGTTCGAGTGCTTGGTATACGCAAGAGTCTTGGCGGCAAAGAGCGCGATAATGTGGTCGGTGATCACATCCACCGACTCGTTCGCAAAGTAATTTTCCTATCAACTCGTCAATATTCGTTTCTAGAAAGGATGATGAATGTACGTACTTCAATTCCGAGGCTGTCGTAGAACCACTCGACTTCGTATTTGACGAGTTCCTTGGGCAAGAATCCCTTTTCGGTCACGCTCTGCTGGACTTTTTCGCGCTGAGCGGCCTTTCCAGAGAAGACGGGTGTGTGATATCCACTATCCAATCAAGCCGAAATATCCAGTAGATAGAATTGAAGGGAGACGATAGGCGTGTTCGGAGGTCGAATGGAGAGGGTGGATGAAGAGGCGCGTAAATGGGTGTAATTGAGACCCAGCATTACGTTTTTGGAATAGCCGCCCATACAAACAACCCGATCCAATCCAACACGTAGTGCATACGGAGAAAGTCAAAGACGAAAGGAAAGAGATAGTGGGGATGAATGGGGAGCATCACATGGAAGAAAGGGTCAGTTTTAATGCGAGGAGAACGTAGAGTGGAGTGAGAAATGCAGAAGGAGTGACTTACGGCACATTTTTGACGACGTGCAGCGCTGGATCGCTTCCAGACCTGGATGATCCGGAGGTGTAGATGCCTGGCACGCGCAGATGAGCAGCAGCCTGTCCACAACCAGCGTCAGTTCGAGCATTACTTTATATCGTGAACACCATCGAGGGTGATGTGTAGAGTGGAAAAATTGTACGTACCGGGTTGGGCTGTTCATTTGGAGTGGCTGGGTTGGTGACGGGTGTGCTCATTATGTCGTAGAACCACACTCCTCAAAGTTTTTCTTTTAGATGAGAAAAGAGTAAGATGAACGAGAACGCGAGTGTGAGGGAGAGAGAAGAGGATAAAAAAGAGCGGGCGCTCGGTGACTTTCTACAGCCTTTTATAGTCCAACGCTAAAAAGTAAGTTTAATGGTAACATGATCGAGGTGAGTCAAAATCACCCCATGATGAGCACATTTGTTACTGGATGAATAGTAACCCTGTGCGAAACTCCATAACAAAGTAGCCGAGCGCAGGGGAATTCCAAGTGCCGTCCATTGGTGCCGTCCATTGGCACCGTCCAGGTCACGCTGCTCGACCCGGATCTCGTCTCAAAATTCACTAAAAATGCAAATCGCCTCCAAAAAGCCAACACCACCTCTTTTACTCTAGATAATGTCGATGATGATGCGAGAGATGGTCTCCGCGATGTGTTTTCGTTCGGCTTCCCAGTTTGGACGAGTGGTCACGTTCATGGGCCGTTGGGGTGGACGTGGCCCTCGCAGGTGATCTCGTGGTCATCCATTGCTATGGTGTGATTACACGTTCTGCTCTGGCATTCATCCGGGATTCTTATTGCGCGTCTGCTGATCACTCGGAATGTCATAATTAGGGCACATTAAATGGGCGAAAAGGAAACGTTCATTAGACTGCACACAGTTTCATTTAGACAAATGGTCACCTGGATTCGATCGAAGATTCCTCTTACTCTTCCCACAAAAAGTTTCGACATCACAATCTATTCCCCAAACACGGACTCAAATCGAACGAGATTCAAAGAGATTCGACGATTTGTATGTAGAGATGTATTCCTCGCCAGTTTTTGGGGTACAAGAGCCTTGGTTCCATAACAAGCCCATTTTTAGTTCAAAGAAAAATTTTTGGTCCGCTTTCGGTTTTGGGTTTTTGGTCCGCCTCAGGTCACAAAGCCGACCTCTT